TTGTTCTGCACACACATGGGGTGACCGATGGGTTTGGGCAAGTAAGTGCCAAACAATTCAAGAGTCCATTAGCATGCTCCTAGTTTTGGATGAAATCTTCAAGGAGGGGAAGGGGAAGAAATAGGGTTGGTGTAGGAAAGCCTGCTGTGGATGACAGCAAGTGTTGTAGGGCCAACTACAAAGGACAACCCCTGCCCCGAGGGAGCAGGGTTCCTCTCTCCAGCTCTGCAGGAGGGGGAATGTGGAGGCACTATGTCCACAGTGTTTTTGTAGGATTCAATCAGCTTTCTTCCTATATCCCATCCCATGCTGGCCATGTGAAACACAGACCCTTTCCCAGCTCCCTCCTTTTCCCACTGTCCCTTACCTTAGTCTCCAGCAACAAACATCCCCATCCATTCCTCATCACTTCTCCAGTCTTCACATTCATCTCTCATCCAGCCTATGTCCTCTTCTCTGAGGTCTTTTGCCTCAAATCCCTTCACCTGCCTCTCTTCTCTTCACTGTAACATATTGCTTTGATGACACAGCCCTTCTCAAACCCTTCTCCTCTTACTCCTCTCTGAATCTTGACTCAGCTTTTCGCATTCCTTCCTTTTCACTTAACAAGCAGCCCTGCTTCAACTCTGCCTTTTATTGTTTCACTCAAGAGCTCATTCTCTCTCCCTCTCTGTCTCCATCAGAGTCTCTCTTGGTCACACCTGCGCACATTAATGACCTCTCCCCCTCCTCAGCCCTGGGCTCCCTTGATGTCCTCAAGCATCACAATCATCTGCTCAACCAGCCCTGTCTCATAGCCTGTATGCATCTCTGCTATTGACATCATTCCACCCATATGGCCTTAATCCTGCCACCAGGGTGGCTTTCCTCTCAGCAAATCCATCTTCCTTCCTCCAGATCTTCCACCTTCCTCACTAGACAGCTCCACAACCAAAACTTCTTTCTGGCAAGTCCCACCCCAGCCCCACACTTCTTCACCAGCCTAAATATCACCTCCTTTGCACTATTCCTTCTCTGCTGCCTCATCTCAACTGTGTACCCACCTCATCCATGCCCTTTTCAGTCTCAGCTGGAGCATTCCTGTTGACAAGCAACACAAAGCCCTTTTACATCCTTCCATGTGGTGGCCAGGAGGGACTTGCTTGGGAGAAAGGCAACAAAGTCCTTCCTTATGGGATCTACATACACATGGCCCTCGCAGCACTGCCAAGCGAGTGATGTGAATGGAGATGCCCCTCGCTGAATTACAACGGCACTACAAACCCCAGCCCGCAGTGTCTAATGTAGAACTGTAATCGCCTCTGCAGAATGGAAGGCACGTTGCCAGCCCGCACACAGCTTGGCCTTGGACAATAAAGACATAATTACGGCTTCAGTGGGTTTGCTTTGCTTTGAGGTTTCCACCAGTGGTGAAATGTTGCTCCATCCCAACCTTAGGGAAGCAGATGATCTCATGAGCTGAAACTGCACAGGCCGTGCTTACCAGGGAGCCTGTGGAAATGGGATAGCTGGTAGCTCCAGTCCCTTTCCAGTGAGCTGGAGGAAGCAGTCTGCCCTATACCTTGACCTCTAGAGAAACCTGCTTAGTCCTGGTTTATTTGCTAAGGTGCAGATTTGGTGCTGCGACTTCTGATTTATCCTAACCTGGGAGGTGATGAAAGTCAGCTTCCACTCTGCCCAGGTGGTTGCAGTTCAGCAGCAGTGTCATTGCAATGTATCACTTCAATCCCGTGTGCATTCACATAACAGTGGTTCCCTGAGCATGACAGCACTGTGTTCCCATCAGATTATGCCTCCATTAAGCTCACAATGGGCTTGACATCCAGTTCTGTCTCTGATCACCCAGAACAGCTCTTTTTGTGTTTCTGTTTCCAGGTTTATCTTCTCTTCAGCACAGAAGAAAAGGAAATACACTCAGGATGCACCAGGAGCCAATCTTCATCTCCCAGCTTAAACAAGGACTTGCTGCTCGAAGTCAAACTGATGAGTGTAGGATGAGGAAGGGCACTGTAAAGTAGCAGTAGTGGGGTTGGCATGAATGTGTCCACTCAAGCTCTCTCTAGGCACCACTCAGACCAGCAGCCTGTTCACCACCTCATGGTTGTGGTGTGAAAAAGCCACTTTCTAAACCCCATCCTGAATTTATTCCTCCACAGTTTATACCACAAGTGTTTGTGCAGACAGTCTGGTATCTTCCACAACTCTTCTTCCTTGTTATTCACCCCAAACATACCCTCTCAGCTCAACCAAGCTCTATAAATACAATGCATTAGGCAGGGGAAAGTGTGGATTAGCAAATTAAACAGGGCTAAGGTCTCTTCTCTGCCCCTGAGGGTGAGTGGACCAGCATGGCTTGTGATCACAGCCTTCCCGCTTACTGCAAATTAGGACAGGGTTTCCTACCTTTGTTCCTATTTCCTCCTGACTCTTGCTGTCCCCTGCAATGTCTCCACACTTTGTTAGGGACTGCACTAGGTGGCACAGACCAGACCAAAACCTACTGAGGAGATGAAACTATTTAGGTTATATTTTGTCCTTTATTTAACTCATTCTGCATCCTATTTATTATGGCATTATATCTACTTAGTGGCAAAGCACACATTGTAGACCAGCCAGCTGCTGGGATGTCTCTCATGGCTTTCTGTTGGCCAGCAAAGATTCTTGTCCTTTTTCTTCTTGTGTTTTTCAGGCTATTGGGGTTTTCTTGTATTATAGGCTTCCTTTAATGTTGTCCTGTTACTGCCTCTTTCCATTTCAGTCCACCTTTCTTGAACATGGAGAGGAGGAAGGAAGAGGAGGAAGGAAAAGTAGGAAGCCAAAGTTGATCAATCTGCCTAAGTGAAAAGTCTCCAGGACCTTACTAACTACCTGGTCTGGTAAAACCACTTATTTGCTGGTTCTATGATGAATTTACTTGTTATGGATTATTTACTATGAATTATTATGATGATTATTTGTGATGACTTGCTACTCTCTGCAGACCTGCAAGTGTTTTAATGAGTCTTGACATTTTTTCCCTGTGTCTTCCCTTAGGTTTCCAAAGGGAAAAACTATGAGCCAATGGCTTGGAAAGCTGTGACTGGTGCTATTTCTCTCTATCACAGCCCAGGCTAAGTTTTGCACTGTCTCAACAAGCCATGGGATTCAACTGAGCTTATCTTCATCATATCACTGACAGATTCTGCTTTCCATCTCTGCAGCTGCTGTGACCTGCCTGCAGTGGCCTCTTTTTCTCCCCGCAGGGAAAACTGGAGGAATTAGTTGGATTACATGGCCTGATCCCTCAGGTATTGCAGGGAGCCAAGGGTTGAATCCAGTTTCTTCTGCTATGTAAGGATCCTGCAAAGGAAGATGGTGAGACATGCTGCATGACAAAAGCCCATGGTTTGTAACCTGGTCTAAGCAACACCAGTTTGTTTCTAGGCTCTACATTCATTTTCAGTTTTGCCCTAAAAGACATCTTGCAAAGCTTTTTATTTTATATGACACTCAGGGAATTTTAAGAGGCTACAATTAAACCCAGCTTTTACCAACAGCAAACTATCTCCAACAGCATGTTCATATACTCCAGCAGACATTCCCCAGCTCCAGTTCTCATCTTTGGCTGCCTAAATTTGCTCTGAAAACAGTATATTTGTCATGATAAACCATTTCTAAGCTCTTCCCTTCCTATGTATTTGAGTGGAAACCCCCAGAATAACAACATCAAAACTCCCAAACACAAAGTGGGCCGAAGAGAACCTTTTAAGACCATCAGTCTAGTGAGTACATTTCCAAACAAGAAAATACTTCTTCTTTTAATTCTTTCTTTCCCCACAAACCCAAACTTCACATCTAAACTACCCAGGTTGGTGAGGAAGAAACCATGGTAACTGCACATTTTAATTGGATGGTTGTTGGCTAGAGAGAAGGGGAAAGATTGCATAACTGGTGCTGGGGAGTCTACATAAACATGACGTGGCTTGGAGAGCCGAAGGGTTCTGCTAAAGGAGAATGTGATACAGCACATCTGGCACTGGGGTGTATCTATCTCCTTTACGTAACACAAAGTCAGAGGGTGTCAGGAGCTCCGTATGGCTTCTGTGGAACAGCACAATGCCTCATGGGTCAGGCCTGAACCCAGGACCAGACTTAGAAACAAAAAGCAGTAGCTTCTCCCAGGTCTTCCCCTCTCCAATGAGCCCTGTTCACTTCCCAGTGAGGAGAAACGATGCATTGGGCATTCTCAGAACTCAAAACACAGCTGCCTGGGAGTTGGATCTGAGCATGGCCAACAGACCTCAAACGTTCCCCCTTTGCAAGATGAACCAACAAGCTTTTGGCTGGCTTAGTGCTCTGTCCTTGTTTCCTGTAAATGTCTCCTTTTCCCCATGTTTCCCTATGCTCAAGTTACAGGCTTCAGCCCTTATTTCTCAGGTTTCCCCATTGAATAATATCATCTTGGCTAAAATACAGCATTGACCCATCACTGTGACACTTGTGCTACAATTCTTCAGCTTTTTGTACACCACCTTCTCATTTGCAGCACCCATCAATGAACAGGGTGTTATCTTCAGCTTGGTCTTCTCACTTAAGTGGTGTCTAAACCTTGTAGATGAACTCTGAATAAAAGATCTTAAAGATTATGTCTGCAGTGCTGGTTGGGTCATAAGGACCAATGTACTTGGTAGAGCTGGTAGCTGTCTGTACCACTGCTGGAGCTCGGCACAGAAGACCAGTCTAAACGACCATCTGGGACTTATTTAGGCAATGGGCAGGTGAAGTGCAGCAATAACAGCTCCTATAGGCTGGATACTGTGTCCCTTCTTCCCATAACTGATAATAAACCCACAAGGAGCATTGAAAGTGCTTCCAGACACGGATCTGATGATGGAGTAAACAGCACAGCAACGGTGGCTTTAGTGCACCACTATAAATAACAGAATCATAGAACCATAGAATGGTTTGGATTGGATTGGAAAGGACTTTAAAATCATCTGTTTCCAACCCCCTGCCATGTGCAGGGACACCTTCCACTAGAGCAACTTGCTCCAAGCTTCATCCAACCTGGCCTTGAACACTGCCAGGGATGGAGCATTCACAACTTTCTTGGGCAGCCTGTTCCAGTGCGTCACCAACACACATTAAGGAATGGCAGCATGAGCTGTTCATAATGGATGAATGTGATCCATCCAAGTTGACCCTACATATCCATGTAAATCTTCTCAGAGCTAAAACCTTTCATTCATCTCCGCCTTCACAGACTGAAACTGTCTTTTGGGCTCTCAGGGTCTTTTCTGCAACATTTGGGTTGGGCAAAAAGGCCTAGAGGAGATGGAGAGAAGGCCAAAATGAAATGATGGCTGCGTGAGTCAACAGACACCATCAAAACCATTAGCAGAACTGGGAAAGGGTAGCTGATCACTTCAAGAACATGAACTACAGCACACCCCTGACCTCAACACAAGCATCAAGCCCATTCTTGTCCCAAGGTATCTCACAGGTTCCCAACCACCCTTTAACCTGCTTGTGACTCTCCCACATTGCTCGCTGTGCTGAAGGAGCTGCTGGGAGTGAGCTGGAGTGCTCCTAGCCAAGCCTTGCATGTTTGGGGAGTGAGCAAACCCTGCTAAGTGGAATCTGGCTGTGCTGTTTGTGTTGCTAAAGAGCAGCACATGGGCACGGATTCGCTGGGCTCCGCCAGTTGGTGAGGGGAGGCTGGAACCCAGCTGATTTCGAAACACGAGACGTAAACAATGATTTGCTAATGAGAGTAAAAGTAACTGCTTCTCAGCAGAGGCTATAAACAGCCTTGCACACTGTATCTGGAACCATAGGGCCATTACCCTTGCTATTGATACCCCAATAACGTGAATCGGGGAGGAACCGCTGCCAAACTGCCCTTGTAGATGCTCTTCTTGTAAAGGCTCTTCTCTTCCTTCCATCAGCAGAAACTGACCTTTTCTGCTTTCCCTGGTGCCTGGGGTTGAGTTCCCCAATGCAGTTAAAAATTCACTGCAAGGTCTTATTAGATCTAAACTGAAACTGATCCAAGCAGAGGCACCCAATACCTGTCGGTGGAGGATCTGTCCTATATTGGAGAGGAAAAGGCTGAACCCTTCCACAGTACAGTGGATGTTAAGACAAATGTTAGCCTTGCAAGCATGGTCAGGACATCCTGGCTTTCCTGCAGCACTTAGCCTGAAATCCCCACACTGCAGCCTTATTTACCCTTGCACTTGGATGTACAGGACACATGGGCTTCCCAAACCTCATCCATCTGCCCATGATGGTGACAGTGCAGAAGGGGATTTCACAACCAGGTGTTCACCTGAACTGGAACTGAGGATGACACTGGGCTAAAGGGAGTTTCTGATTAGCTCTGATTCCTGAGAGCTCCCTTTTTGTTGGCCTCTCCTCCTCTGTTGAACCCTAGATCTTCCCATTCACGCATGGGAGCATCCTCCCTGCTCCTCACATCTACTTCCTTGCCAGTCTCTCTGCTTCATTTCACTACTTACTCTTGGCTTCTGGCCCTGTGCTTCAAGGCAGGGTGGGGGAGCAAAGAGGCAAGGGCTGCTGACAGGGAGATGTTCAGCTGATGTGAGACCACCAGCATGATGCACCTCAAAGGATGCTGCTGTCCATCCCCCATTCCTTCTTCAGCAGGTTCTTCATCAGAGATGGTGCATTTTCAAGCCTGGCAGAGAATACACTGACTTGAGGGATGCAGATGCATTTAACAGACAGAGGAGCGAAGACTTGCTTTCTATTAAAGCATCTCACTACAGAAAGACACACATTGGTAAATTGCATGGCTCCCTCCAAGCAGCTCCAAAAGGGATGGGCAAAGCTTGCACAGATTTATTTAGGACCAAGCATATCCCTTCATCAAAGAAGTTTGCTTTTAATTTTTCACAGCAGGGCTTCAATTAAAGAAGAAAGTAAACAATAAACCAGAAATGGTGTGCATTATCATCTGAGAAGAAAGAGACCTGCACAAATGTTTCCCCTCACTGCAAGATGTAATGCTTTGTTATACCTTGCTTAGAGGCCAAAACAGATTACAGATGAAAGTCACCTATTTCCTGTGAGAGTAAGACACTTACCCCTTGTGAAATTGTGTGGATTTTGGTTGTGTCAGTCACCCTGTGGCTCCTTTAGGCTGAGAGAGCTGGGCTGGGGCAGCCTGGAGAAGAGAAGACTCCTGAAGGGGAGACCTTAGAGCAGCTCCAGTGCCTAAAGGGGCTGCAGGAAAGCTGGAGAGGGGCTTGGGACAAGGGCCTGTAGGGACAGGCCAAGGGGAATGGCTTGAACCTGCCCGAGGGGAGACTGAGCTGAGCTCTTAGGCAGAAGCTCTTCCCTGTGAGGGTGCTGAGGTGCTGGCACAGGGTGCCCAGAGAAGCTGTGGCTGCCCCATCCCTGGCAGTGTTCAAGGCCAGGTTGGACTCAGGGGCTTGGAGCAAGCTGCTCCAGTGGAAGGGGTCCCTGCCCGTGGCAGGGGTTGGAGCTGGATGAGCTTTAAGCTCCCTTCCAACCCAAACCACTCTGTGATTCTGATTCTGTAATCCTATGATTTGGGGATTGACCCATTAAGTCCCAGTGCCCAATGTGATGCTATGACCAAAGTTATGCTTTGTATGTGTGAAGTGGGGCAGCTCTTCTTCCTAAGATCTCATATAATATGTGTTGGGTTGGGGTTGTTGTTTGTGGGGGGTTGTTTTGGTGTTGTTGTGGGGTGGGTTTTGGTTGTGTTTGGGTTTCTCCTCTCTGTCAGTTTATATCCATTCCCCTGATCCTGTCACTATCTGCCCTTGTAAAATCCTTTTCAGTTACTGTTTCTCAGGCAGCATTTCCCACCATACAGACGTGTCTTACCTGATGTTTCCTGGATGTCCAACATCATACCTGACAGTATGGAGATAAAGAAATTTTGGCCTTGAACTTGTATTTCAGTGGCTTTTCTGAGGTCTCTGAGCCCAGTCCTCTGCACAGGATCATTTGGTGTATTGTAGGACACCAAACTCTTTGTGGAAGAAACTTGTTTCACTCCGTTTGTATCATGCACCTTCTCGGGCTGGGTAGAGGTATGCTCTTTGAGTGGAAGAACTTGAAGCATTATGGGTTGGTTAAACAACAGAAATCATATCAGAGAATCACAGCTCATTTGGATTGGAAAGGACCTTGAAGCTCCTCCAGCTCCAACCCCCTGTGAAGGGCAGGGACACCTTCCACTAGAGCAGGTTGCCCCAAGCCCTGTCCTGAGCACAGGGTGAGTACAGAGCATGTGCTCATGTTTCCTTCCACTTCCATGTGTTTTCTCATCACCCAACCCTTAGCAGATGTACCTCCTGCTCAGCAGAAGGTTTTCAGTTCCCAAAACATGCAGCCAGAAAGAGAATTACCCAAAGCCACGTCTATTCACAGCAAAGCCCTGTGTCTTGTGCTAACATCAGCCTTCTGCTTCCAAACCCTGGGAGATGCTGCCCCTTTTCAGTAAAACCCACCTTGACCCTTGGGCTGAGCTCATTTTGGTACCTCAAAAGAGTGAAAGGGTTGAGCAAGGGATGATGGGGGAGTGGGGGGGTAATCCATTCATTTATCCCTTCATCTGAAGCATTCAAACCCTTGTGGCAACCAGGGGTGCAGGAGCTCACAGGGAAGAGAGAAGTTCAAGTTCCACTTGCTGGAACTCTTCATCATGAGGAGAGCAGAGGAGAGAGAAGAGTAATGGGAGAACTGATAGAAGAGGTAGAAAGAAAACAGGAAGAGGAAAAGTGGAAGAGGAAAGGAAAGGGAAGGAGAAAGAAAAAGAGAAAGGGAAGGGAAGGGAAGGGAAGGAGAAAGGAAAGGAGAAAGGAAAAGAGAAAAGAGAAAAAAAGAAAAAGAAAGAGAAAGGGAAAGGGAAAGAGAAAGAAATCAAAATAAAAAGAGAGAGAAGAGAAGAAGAGAAGAGGAGAGGAGAGGAGAGGAGAGGAGAGGAGAGGAGAGGAGAGGAGAGGAGAGGAGAGGAGAGGAGAGGAGAGGAGAGGAGAGGAGAGGAGAGGAGAGGAGAGGAGAGGAGAGGAGAGGAGAGGAGAGGAGACGAGAGGAGACGAGAGGAGACGAGAAAAGAGAAGAGGAGAAGAGAATAGAAGAGAAAAGAGAAGAGGAGAAGAGAAGAGAAGAGAAGGGAAGGGAAGGGAAGGGAAGGGAAGGGAAGAGGAAGGGAAGGGAAGGGAAGGGAAGGGAAGGGAAGGGAAGGGAAGGGAAGGGAAGGGAAGGGAAGGGAAGGGAAGGGAAGGGAAGGGAAGGGAAGGGAAGGGAAGGGAAGGGAAGAGAAAAAAGGAAAGGAAAGGAAAGGAAAGGAAAGGAAAGGAAAGGAAAGGAAAGGAAAGGAAAGGAAAGGAAAGGAAAGGAAAGGAAAGGAAAGGAAAGGAAAGGAAAGGAAAGGAAAGGAAAGGAAAGGAAAGGAAAGGAAAGGAAAGGAAAGGAAAGGAAAGGAAAGGAAAGGAAAGGAAAGGAAAGAAAAGAAAAGAAAAGAAAAGAAAAGAAAAGAAAAGAAAAGAAAAGAAAAGAAAAGAAAAGAAAAGAAAAGAAAAGAAAAGAAAAGAAAAGAAAAGAAAAGAAAAGAAAAGATGTTATTTCCTTGCAAGTGTTCAGCCTGAGTAATTCCAGTTCAAGTGTATGCACAAGCCTTTGTTTCCTGGGTGGAAATCTTGTCCTTGATTTTCTTTCTTTTCTTTAGAAATATCCACTGCTTTGTGATATCTGCAGTAACAACAGCGCTTGCTCTTGGTGGGGGGCTACAGACCCCAGGAATAGCACGGATATTGTGGAAGCACTCTGTCCTCCACCTCCCATTGACGGCAGGTGCCCAGGAGAGCATTACACCCTGCTGATAGTGGCACAAATTCATCAGCGGTCTGTTAATTAACTGACAACCAGCCAAATAACCAGCCCTTATCTCATAGGACACAAATGAGGCTGGTGAGGCAATTCTGCCTGGGAGTGGGCTTTGTTAAAGCGATGCTAAGAAGCCAACCTCGGGAGGAAAGCATCCAAGGAAATAGGAGAGAGAAATTCACAGTGGTGTCTGCATCTTTTCCACCTGGGGTGGCAAAATACACCTCAGCTTGTGTCCGAGAGATTTGATAGTACAAGAGATACTTGCAAACACGTCAGCATAGAAAAAGTGCCAATTAAAGACAACTCAATGCTCTAAGAAATTCAGTAAGTCTTCCCTAACTCTCGTCTTACCTTTGGCAAGGGATTTCTGACCCTATAAATTGGTCCATTCCCCAGCGAACATCTTACTTGCATTTCACACACACACATTCAGTCTTTTCTTCTCTGTCTGGGGCTATGGCTCCTTGTGGGAAAGCTTATCTGGAGCCTGGGTGTAAGTCTGGAGTTGCACTAGAGAGACAGAAGCAACCCGTGGCTACAGCCTATTGAAACACTGCAGGATGCAAAAGGACATAAAACTACAGTGCACATTTTATAGGTATTATGTTCTTTTATAACAGGCATCAATAAAATCTCCAGGGTTTTTAACTCCCTCATACAGCGGAAAGACTGGATGAAAAATCTGAAGAGCCAGATGATTCAATTAATTCTTCTATACCAACAAAATGGGAATTGGTTCATATGAAAAAACACCAAGGACACAGGGAAGGCTGAATCCAGATAAAGACAGTGACATTGGGTAAGCTAAGTTACACATTTCTCTGCCTGTAACCTTACAGTATTCTCATCCTTGACTGTTTCTGATCTACCTTGTATCTGTTGAGCCCCTAGTTGAGGCTAGCTGGCCACAGAGCCAACCCTGTTGGAACTAGATGATCTTAAGGTCCTTTCCAGCCCTAACTATTCTATGATTCTATTCTATGATTCTATGGGCTCGTACATACCTTACAAGCTGCAGATGCGTTGTGTTGGCCACCTCCCATCTGTGTCCCGCCAATATGCAATGACTCCCTGGTCCTTGCATGGTTTGGGATCTTTCTGAGTTATTAAATCATCTTTTAAATGTTCCCATGCCAAGGTATTTGCCAAGACTCAGCCTGGAGCAGTTACTCCCTGCAGCTGCAGCTTCAGTGTTCATGACGCAGGGGAGAGATTAATCTCGGGCATCGCGTCCATAAGAATCCTCCAGTGACAGAATGGGTCCAGGACTGGGTCCTCAAAGACTTTGATGATGGAAGCTCTCTGGAAAGATGGATATCCTGCAGCTCGTTGTCAGGGCTGCTGTGCAATGTCTGGGTGGAAGTCTGCTGAGGAGGAAGGTGATTACCACATTGGGTTGAGGGATCCACAAGCTAATCAGAAGATTACTGTTTATCACAACATCTTTTCCTTGCATGCAGCTCATCAGACCTACTGCTGCCCACCAGCACCTGCTCTCCCTCCTGAGCACAAGGGATTCAAAGTGATACATTCATAGAATCCCAGCCTGATTTGGATTGAAGGGACCTTAAATCCCATCCAGCTCCAACCCCTTCCACTGGAGCAGCTTGTTCCAAGCCCCTGTGTCCAACCTGGCCTTGAACACTGCCAGGGATGGGGCAGCCACAGCTTCTCTGGGCACCCTGTGCCAGCACCTCAGCACCCTCACAGGGAAGAGCTTCTGCCTAAGAGCTCAGCTCAGTCTCCCCTCGGGCAGGTTCAAGCCATTCCCCTTGGCCTGTCCCTACAGGCCCTTGTCCCAAGCCCCTCTCCAGCTTTCCTGCAGCCCCTTTAGGCACTGGAGCTGCTCTAAGGTCTCCCCTTCAGGAGCCTTCTCTTCTCCAGGCTGCCCCAGCCCAGCTCTCTCAGCCTGGCTCCAGAGCAGAGCTGCTCCATCCCTTGAAGCATCATTGGATGATTGGATTGTGCCTCTGCACCATACACATTGAAAACCAGATAGGATGAATCCTAAGTGTCATGGTAGGAAATCAGCTGTTGCTCAAGAGAAGGATGTGCTACCTGACAGCGTAGTTGCCATAAAATCGTGTTTTTCACGGAAAAAAGAAATTTAAGAGGTCTTCTCTCTGAGCACCTCACTGATCTATTTGCTGCCATCATGCCTGGCATCTTATTTATTCAGTAACTTCCTGAAAAAGAACATTAGTTTGGACTCTGTGAAGATGAGTAAGCACCAAGCTGAGGACTGGATGGAGACAACACCAGGCTTTGATGGAGGGGAAACCTATCGGTGGGAATAAAGTTTCTAAATGGAGTTGTTAGGTGAGAAATTTGTCCATTTTTAAAGTATATATGGATTTCCAGTAAGAGTTTTGACTAAAGGAAGAGCAGGGAGCTGATGATACCTGAGTCCAGAGATAAAGACTCTGCAGAGGGAAGAGGTGGAAATTACCATAAAAGACAAAATACCTGAGCCTGAGAGCTAAAAAGGGTGGAATTAAATAAGGTTGGAGAGTGTGAATGGATGGGATGAAACAAAAAGTTTGACTAAAAGGGACAAAAATTACAGTTTGGAAATAGTGGAATAGCAGAAAATGTGGAGATATGGGGACTTTATAACCCAAGTAATGGAACCATCTGTGGAAATGTCACTGTAGGATGTACCAGGCAAGGAGTTTCAATGCTGGTAAGGCAACTTTGATGCTGTTGCATCAGACTTGTGAGACCATAACAGGAGTATCCTGATAGTTCTGATTATTCTTACTTTCAAAGGCTGCACCCAAGGTGTAATTCTTGGAGGAAAGAGATGCTGTAGCGGTACTAAAGTGAGCAAGAAAGGAAAAAGATCTAGGCTTGCAGAAAAACTAAGGGACTTGTAGGAGCCAAAGCATGTTATCTCTCCATTGCACAGTGTCTGGCATCCACATTCATGCTGCTGGAAGAGAGATGCACTGGCTGGGAGAGGCTGCAGGACATCCATCCCAAACGTCCTAAATAAAGACTTAGAAAGGACTCTTTTGGGTTTCTTTTTCCCCCAACAGTGCATGGAAGCAGTTCTATGCCAGCTAGGGTGAAGGCTCATTTAGCTGTGAGCAGGTAGGAGTGAGTGTGATGGCAGGGTGGGAATCTGCTCCAGGGTAGAATATAGCCAGGGATTTAATTGGCAGGAAGTTAATTGGGATCTTACA